CATTTTCGTCTGGCTCCTCAGCTTCTTTTTGAGCCAGCATCCGGCCCAGTCAAGCTGTTATTGCCCTGAAATTCAACTGCGAAGTCATGAAAGTCCCCACAGTGATGGCAATTCCCATCTCTGCACTTCCCATCTCTATGAAGCAGTTGAAAAGGATTCAGGCACTGAAGCCAACATTGCAACGCCTTGCGGCAGTTGAAGAGGATACTCCGAAGAAGTTGCAATGCCTACGTAGTTTAAGAATCGGCAGTGGAATCGTTTGATGATTCCTCACATTTGGATGCACTTTTGGATCCGTGAATTCAACCCTAGGCCGCTGAGCTGAAGAAGAGGCCATCAGTGACCATCTGCACGGTGCGCCGACAGAAGGGGCACTGGCTCAGCATCATAAAGTTTCCTGGCACTTGCACTGTTCGCGGCAATCGGCGCTGGCAGGCCATGCACAGGGTGTGCCCGCAGGGTGCCAACACCACCAGGGCAGTTTTCTGGTGGCAAATGCCGCAGTTGCCCAAGCTGCCCGAAGAACAAGCTGAAGGGGGAGGTGTTGCCTCGTCGCCCCACGATGCTTGAATGCGGATGCGGGCACCAGGCAAAGCCTCAACTCGCAAAGAGGTAAAGCCCAAATTCTCAAGCTGAGCCAGAAGCTTCTTTGCGATGTCATTCACAGCCTGAACAGGCAATGGAAGTAGCCCCATGCACATGCATTCCAGGCGCAGTACAGTCAGCTCATGGCTGAAGGTCATGATGCACTCAGATTCCAGCCTGGAGGCTGCTCTCTCGCAGGCTGCGGTGAATCTCTTAGCAATTTCCTTCACTCTGACGTGTCTCAATGAATCCGTCTGCTCTGCCAAAGAACATGGTTGGGGCTGTGGGAGGGAAAGTTGCTTGCTCCCTTGAACCGAGAAGCAACTGACAAGAGGTGCGGCCTCACCTGAGGCTTGGATCCACTAGAAGTGGGCTTGTCTCCAAATGGAGCTTTCAAAATCGATGCTTTTCTGGAGGTTTCCCTTCAAAGCCGCCTACATCTTGCATAATGGATTTGCAGCATGGCAGCCCAAGTGCCTGCAACTACCTCTCCGTACGCTTCACCTCACTTAAGCCACTTTAAAGACTTAAGGACGCCTCCTCCAGGGTGATGTACTGGAACATCTTGGCATAGTCCACCAGCCTGGGCCAAAAGCACAAGCGCCCGGGGAAAATTGAAACCCAGCGGGGGCCGGCAAAGTTGCTTGGCCGGAATCTTCCTTGGTGACCAAGACATGTTGTGACCAGTAAGCAAGGTCCCTCGACCAGAGACGGGTTCCAAAAATCCAGGAATCGGACCCAAGAAACTTGTTGAATTGCATAGATACGTCTGGTGTTCCTTAAAGCACCATCCAGAGGATCTTGGAACACCCCCCATGTGCTGAGGGATCCCAATATCTTCGCCACCAGCATCTTGCCAACTGTTCAGAGGCAACGGATCGACGAGTCGACCAAGTACCCTCCTTGATTCTTGTTCCAGCTAATTGTAATCTGTGGGGGGGGCTCAATTTTGGGGACGGCCCAATTGAGATGTTCTACCTTGGCTAAACTTTGCCACCTCCCCCAGATATCAATCTGGGTTGTTCAAAACTAGGGGGGTCCTAGTCCCAATCCACAATCCGTGGAGGGATCCCACTACAACCAGGAAAATCACCACCATCTGGCATACGGGTCTTGCTTGAACAAACCAGCCTTTTGGCAGGTTCCATCCCCCAATCGCACAGGTTGGATTAAACAAGTTGCTCAATCCTGCCACAAACACCCAGGATTCAGGATATTCAGGATTGATTTGAAAGAAAAACTGCCATTTTTTGCGACCTCCGAATTTGACACCCCATATCAAACGCGACTGAAGTCGAGCGACATGAAATCGATGGCTACCTTCTCGTCCACGGTACCGCCCACCACCTGTAAAGGTGGCTCGGGCGGTGGCTCCAACTGATGTGGTCGCTACGCCTCCAGACCCTCAAGCGCACCTTCGTTGGAACTTGATTGCTGAAAGGAGCAAAGAGCACGTCGAGGTGTGCGGTCCTTACGGGGGGACACCAAAACAGGTTGATACACTCCCTAGCCCAAAGTACGTGGCAAAGCCAGTCACATGTCCCCCCAAGCATGTTTGGTCATACACATCCTTCCTCCGGTCAGATATTGGCCGGCTCATTCATTGTGCAGGCTGCGCGTCAAGAATTCAAAAGTGAGCTTAGGGTGGATTCGATTTGGTTCCCACTGTGCCAGGTAGCCAGTCACAATCAAGAGACACGCAGAAATTAAACCCTGTTGTCCGGAACGAAAGCAAACCTGACTCATGTCTCCAGAGTGCTGAGAGGAGGTTTCTCACCCCAGTGTGGCTTGCAGCCCCAAACACTCACAAGTACTTCGCAACCGCATCACAGATTTGCGGGTGAAGCAAAACGCAAAGAGTGCAAGGGCCCGTCAGCACCAAGGAATGAGTTTGAGAGAAGTTGTGCCACATCCTCATGACCTTGCTCGATAAGGCACAAAGTGTCACCGCGGTTCCAACACGCATGAATTATGCGAGCCAAAGCAATGAATCGATCAAGCCGCTAACTCAACCATGTGAGCAAGCCTTGGTAAGAGCGTGCAAGTATGATGCACGTGACAATCAGCGACCCTATATTTGGATCTTGCCCCTGAGAAACAAGTTCATGGACCAACTCCTGCACCAGCAAGTTCATCTTCATTATAAGTGATTCTCAATCATATCGTGTGATCACACCCGCTGCACAACACTCTTCTTGGCTACATCTGTATAGCTGAAACCTGGTCATGGTAAATCATGTTAGGCCATCTCAGGGTGTCATCCCAGCGTGCAAGGAACGGACAAACTCAGTGGATGGACAAAATCCTGCACCAGTTGGGACGCATGAAGGCCTATAAACCCTGGGACAAACCACCTATCATCTGGTGCAGGATGTTGTCCATCCACAGTCCCAGGAAGCGGCAGGCGGGAGGGTCCCAAGAAGCGGAGTACTTCACGTTTCAGGTGAAGACTCCAGGGAAACTCGCTGATCCCAAAATGTGGCTCTTGAACCTTTGCTGACTGCCATCCTGTTTGCCCCAACCTTTGGAACCAGATCTGCACTCCGGATCCAAACTCTGAACGTGTTTTTGCTGAAAGGCCTCTTTTGCTCAAAGGGCACCACCAGCCCAGTCCGCCAGCTCTCCAGTTAGCGCACCCGCAAGTGTGTGGGTGGGAAAAAGGCCAGGTAGTGCCCAGGATACGCATAGCACTCGAAGCGGAAGGCACCCTGGGTGGGAAGTGATGGGATCAGCGAGGCGAAACTGCCACTGCGGAAAAGAACATAGCTCAAAGAAACGCAGAAATAGGCGGTGACAGGCAGGTCCCAGACGTGTCACAAGAGTCCACTTGTCACACCCAAGCAATCCATGGAAGACCTGCGCCTTGAGTGTGAAGAACAGGGCACCCTTTGGACATCACCAACCACTTAGGTGGTTCGGGACATTGAAATTCATTGGCCAAGTCAAAAGGCCATCGTCCACCCCCAGAAACTGGGGCTCCTGTCTCAGGCACCTTGGGAGTGCCCCAGGCCCAGCTTTGTCTCTGTTTGACCTCACCGCTAGTCTTCGAGTGGAATTGTACACTGAACAGTCCAAGACACTCCAGAGCCCTTGCCTCAAGTCCTTGCTGAGCATGTGAGCCCTGCAACTTAATTTAATGCCATGCTGCTATTCCATGCTGTACCTCCTCGTGCACTGGGAATCCTCCGAATCATGACAAATGTCCGCCGGCCCTTTGGTCCGAAAGTCTTCCTGGGAAGCTGGTGTAATGCGAGCACATCTGACTGTCGCAATGGAGAACAGGAAGCCCATGCATACTGGAATCCCACTGCGCCCTTCATTTTGGCTGGGTGTGGTCGTGCCACTATTACCCGGTTGATGTAAGTTGTGATTCATTCTTATGCCGGCTTTTCTCCAATCCACAACAGCTGAAATGGAAAAGCTGCGAACACATATGTTCATCGGCAACGAAACTTAGACAGGCGCCCAAAGATTATGGGTTCATCATGATTTTGACAGAAACAAACAAGCAGAAACAACTGGTGAGGCATGGCATGCATCAACTATCACATGGTATCAACCCGGAATAAAATAAGTCTGACGAAGGCTCCAAATCCAGGAAGCGTTAAGGCACTCAAAGCAAAGATCGGCTAGTGAGGAAAACCGCCAGCCTTGAACACATCGCTGGCGACGGCAATGAAGGCGGCCTGAGCCAAGTGAACTTCAAAGCTTCAAATGAAAAAGGGCAACCTCTCTTCGCTGGTTACGTTCAGCAAGGAAAAAACGGACCGCGGTGTCTCTGAAAAGGCTTGGGCAAGTTGGCCAAGCTCCTAGAAGAATGCTGGGAGCTTGAACTTTCTCACCATCAGCTAGGATCCCTTGGGGGCGTTTGACCATTCCCCCACTGCCCCGAAAGGCTTCAAGCCCGCGACCCAGGTCCCACGGCCGGTTCGGGCCCCGTGCGCTTTCGCCCATCTGCCCTGGGCTCAGGATCACCTCCGAGGGTCGCGACGGAATCGACCCGGGGTTGACTTTCGGGCCTCCCATCTGCAAAAGGCGTGGCCTGACTCTAGTTTGGTCTTGATGCTTGTGGGGGAACCCTCTTCGGGGCGGGAAACCAAAGGAAAACCACCCCTTTTGGGGGTTCCCTTTGCGTGCAAACCAGTCAGATTGCCCCAGACTTGCTTTCACTGGGTTCCGGTGAGTTATGGCCACTTCCAAAACAGAGGGGACGTGAGGGGGGAATTCACACTTGTGGAGGTCCAAAACAGGGAAATGTGCCCGAAGCTTGACAATGGGAGATGATCATGGTCTCCTCAAACTTCTTCGGTTCGATGTCCTGGTTACTGGGCTCCCGTGGGATCAAAAAATGATTCCTGCCCCCTTGCACCCAAAAACAAAAAACGCTTCGTCGCACCGCTGTCCTTCGCATTTTTCTCAGCGCTTGGCCGGGGCGGCCGAGAGGGCCTTGCCATAAAGCCGGGCGATGGACGCGTAACTGTCCATCCACGCTAAGCTGCGCAGCGCGGCGACGGCGTCGTTGGTGCCAGCGGCGTAGAACGCAATATACCTCGTCAGCGGAAAGGGGGGAATGAGGTACGACCATCTGTTGGTGAAAATTCGTTGATTGTCAATGTCCAAAAAGTGCGCATATGCTTACTGCAACTCCCTGGAAGTATATTCAGTTTGGGTGGTGGTGGTGGTGGTGGTGGTGGTGGTGGTGGTGGTGGTGGTGGTGGTGGTGGTGGTGGTGGTGGTGGTGGTGGGGGTGGTGGGGGTGGGGGGGGGGGGGGGGCGGCGGCGGCGGCGGCGGCGGCGGCGGCGGCGGTGGTCAGATAGATGCCGTTGGAATCACACCTCAATCCAAACGGTCGGCATTGCATTTGCGTTTCGCTCAAAGCCATCCACAAACATGTCTCGAAGTATAGCCTTGTTTAGTTGGCAGTGATCTCACATGGAATACCACCCATTTGGGGGGGGGGGGCGTCCGCATCCCACGGGAAGACAAACACAAATATAAGAGTTGCCTAATTATATTTCCACGGCAACACGATCAAGCAACAAACCGCAAATACAAACACTGCCGACACTCAGAAGGCAATCCGGCCAGAAAGCATGGGAACCCACGAAGCCTACCAAGCTGGAGCACTTACTACTAGGACCCTTTTAGGGAGCAGAGATGTTAATTCAGCATGGGAACGGATTGGCTAAACAAGAAAATGGTTTGTCGCTGAAATGGTCTTCCCAAAAAAACTGAAAGTCGAGCAACCCAATCAGTGAGAAAGCCATTTGAACCAAGTTTGGAGTCGTCTTTGATTTATGTATTTACTTATATATTTTTACGTATTTGTTTACTTATTTACTTCTGTATTTATCTATCTATGCATGCCACGACAGGAACCTGGGGCCCCCTTCTTCCCCTTGCGGTCTCGGGCACAGCACTCTCGCGATCAGATAGCGCAGGCAGAGCTGGAACGCCTCCAGCGGTTTCACCTTCTGCATCCTCAGATTGGAGCCCATTTTTATGACGAGGTTGCAAAGACATGGGGTTCCTCTCGGGAAAAGTGATGCTTGCTTCCGTTGGCGACAGGGTTGCCAGGTTACAATTTCCGCCCTTGTCAAAACTTTACTTCCCGCCAAAACGCTCCCCTGTGTTCTGCAAATGAGGGCTTCTCCAACCAGCCCTCACAAGCGAGGCACTGATTCTAACCCCGGTGAGCATTCTCCTTTTTCCAGACAAGGCCAAGTCCCTGAATTACAGCGCAGGGTGGGGAGTTTCCCGCACTTCAAATGACAGCTCAAGCTCTTTCAGCTCCAAGCGGCACCACCAAACAAAACCTCCAAACACACAAACTCGCCCTTGTCCCCCAAGCCCCGGCTCCCCTCCTCCCCCCTGCCCCAAATACAAGGGCCTGATGGAGGCTTTGTGACAACTCCGCGGGAGGGGGCTTAGGAACAATGGACAGTTGAGTGAGCTCTTACTTGGCAACAGGCAAGCACGCAAAACAAATGCTCCGCTATGTCGTGCCAGAACGAGGGAGTGTCACCCATGCCAATTTGGCACACGGCGCTTCGTCGTCCCCATTTGGTGGTGCGTGCTTTGTTCAACGGTTTGAAACTCCGTGTGCCACTCACTTTCCGAGTGGACTGGTCTAAAAGGATCTAGACCTTCTTCGCCAAAATGATACTGTCAAAACACTTACTCCCTTGCAATCTCTTTTGGGGAATTGGACCCTTGTTTTGAGCTCCTTCTATTAATTTGTGATTGAGTCCAACCTTTTGGAAGGCCACCAAACTGATATTCCAAGAAGAAAGTGCCTACAGAATACAGGCAACAAGCATACGACCAAAAAGTTTAATGCCAACCTTACACGGGAAAGCAGGAAACGCGAACCGAAAATGGACTTCCACCCCCCTTGCCCCCACTGCCCTGTTTCAGAGACATGGTGGGGATGAAGCTGTCAGGCCAGGGTCTTGCAAATAAAATCGTTGAAAAGAAACCTGTACTGCCAGTCTCCCAACCCCCAGTTGACCGTGCAATCATGGCTACTCCCCTGCAAATGAACATAGACTCCGAATCCATCCATGTGTACCAAACAGTTGGAACATGCCTCTCACTAAGAAGTCGATTCTCATCTATTCCAAGAATATCCCAACAAAAGTAAACTACCAACAAGTCTAATACCAAACAGCTTCCCACCAACAAGTTTACTTTTACTAATGTTTAACTTCGGATTAACCTGGAGGCCCCTACGAATCAGAGGAACCCTCCGTCCTCCGGCCAAATCCAAAGTTAACCTCACCCACAAGCTTCGTTCAGCCCTCGCTCGATTCCTTTTGCCTAGACTCTTGCACATCAGCACGGCGAAGGCGAAGGCCGGGAAGCCCTCCAGGGCGTTCTGGTGGCACGCCAAGAGCCGGCGGATCAGCTTCTCCGAGGGCCCGAACTGGGCATAGTCCGTGCTGCGGGGGTCCTGGTTGTTGTACTCCGTGACCCTGCGAGGGTTTTTGTTATTTTTAGGGGCAATTCTTTGATTTGAGGGGTAATCTTTTAGTGCGCTTGGTAGGTGCGTTGTTTGTTGTTGAGCGTCATCCTTTACACACTTTATTGCACTGAGGCACTGCGTATGTTCCCAACTCTTGTCCAGACTCGGCAATTGGGGCCTGTCGTACATGTGCTCATGGTTGCTTACCCTCAGCTTTGAAGGGGCGCCTCTGCTTGCTGAGGATGACCCCGAACTTCATGAAATGCGGGACGTAGGCGAGGAACCACGCCACAGGCACTGTGGCCAGTGCCGGAAGGTACATGTCCTCGCGACGAGGAGCGAGCGACGTTTGGGTGTGTAGAGGGTGTCCTTTTCGGGTTGGCTTGCAAAGAAGCCTGGCAGAAAACAAAACAAAAAGCATGTTTTTCATGGTGCCCCTATTTGAACACATACCCAAATAAGTTTGTCCATGAGGGAACCTTCAAATGACACCCCCTTTGAGAAGTCCGCTGGTGTTTGGTCCAGGTCTCTTGAGGGGCCCTGAGGCCAAAGGCCGGGAAATGTGAATTCACTAGATGAGCCATGGTCAAGCCTCTTGATTCCGGCAACGGTCGTGGTTCCTTCCTGTAAGTTCTCATAGTGAACGTCTCATCAACTTTTATCAAGCGGTTGCGGGCGAATTCGTATTAACCCCAAAGAACCAAGTGTGCCTTCTCCAAAATCCTGCGAGCCCGTATGTTGAGGCGTGAATATTTGCCAAACAAGCGAAAAGAAACCGGGCATCCTGCATGGCCCGCATCAGGAGCGCCTGCAAGCGATGCAAAGACCGTTGGCTGGCCAGGGACCCGTGGCAATGTACCCTTAGCCTGGGAATTAAACATGATAGGACTAAGATGGTAACTTTGTCCCGGCAAGGGCACCTTGTTTGGTTCCCCCGACCCCTGAAAGCTTGGAGGAAGCTCGGAGCAAACAAACACGGGCATGGCTTGTCAAAATAGAAAGACGCCCCTTGTGTTCCCGTTAAACCAACCAGGAAAAGGTGCGAACAAAACACGCACCCGAATGCTTGCGACGAGAACCAAACATGTTGACCATTGAAAAGGAAACCAAACCAAAGAGCAGAGCATTTGCACCCATCCACAATAAGAAAGTGCATATCTTCTACCATGTCCACTTGAATCGGCGGGACGCAAGCAAATATGTTGTTTACAGCCCACCGACAGGTGTGCGAGTTTGGTGTTGTCCAAGTGACTGCTCGCAATCGACAGGATGGGTGGCCTGCGAACTCCCCGCTCGCTCGCGTTTTGAGACGCGCTCGAAAGTTCGTCGGGAGGGTTATAAGATGCTCCACTTTCTCTTTTGCTGTTTTGGGTCTGTTCACGTGAAGTCTTTGGGCCACGGCGAATTGCAAATTGAGTCACCTAACTGATCTCTGCCATGGATGTCGTTGGCTTATTCCGGAGGCCTCCGGACCACACCAGGGATGGTTCCGCTTTGAGTGGGGGATGATTTCATGTCGCGGCAAAGTCCACTCGCATGGTCCTCAATCTGAAGTTGGATATGGGAACCCAGGATTCATCCAGGCCTCAAGGAGAGGTGGCACAGACTCGAAATAACAAGGGATGAAGCTAATCCTGGGTTAACATGATTTTAGGAGACGGGGGGAAACTGTGTAGTTCGGAAAATCCGGTTTCTTGGTCAAAATACACAGAAAGTACGAACTTCAAACTTGGTCTAGCCTACAACAGAAAATAGGTTGCGAGAAGACTCCAGGTGTGCACATCTCCCACGTCCATGGGTGAGTTGCTACGCGCCTGAACGCGCTGCTGGAGGGGCGCCGGCATGCGCGCCATCATTGCCATCAGCCACGCAGGCGGGGCCTCAGCGAGAGCTGTGCAAAACCATAGGGGGCTGTGGTCTTCCATGCGGGCCCGTCCTTCTTCGAGGGCTTGCGCCTCTTTTGGGTTGGGCAGGGCTGCCATTTGGTTGGACTAGCTTGAGATTTGAGACAAACCCACATGATGGTTCCTAAGGCACAGAGCTCCCTCTTGTGTTATGGGCGGTGTGCATCCGACCAGGAAAATGGCAGGGCTGTCGCCTGTTTGAGGAATAAACGTATCAGCAATCTGGGACTGGCTCAAAATGGCTGGGGGGGGGTTCCCCCTACTTGGATAGCTCTAAGGAAAAAGCAAAGTAAACCAACCCCTTTTAGACAAATCAAAATAAACAAGTATAAAATAAACAAGTATAAACAAAAACAAAAGACATGGCAAGCCGCTCAAAGGCGAACCGGCTTCATCCAACACAAAATGGCTTCGTTTTAGGGCGGCTGAACCCCCCTTTCCTGTTTTTTGACTCAGGCCAGGGTCCGACACAACAGATGCTGAACTTTGCACTGAGGATCATGCCCGGGCAAATTACTACGAGTTCCCTTTCATCACCGGTGAGCCCGTTTTACCCCAGGTGAGCTCGAGTGCGTGATCCTCCAAAGTAGCCTCCAAAACAAAATCGTGTCCTTTCATCATGAGTGAGCCCATTTTACCCCACATAACTTGCTACAAATTGCTAAGACAGTTTTCACTCGAAGTGAAAAATGGTAAGGTGAATACAGGCTGGGGATTGCAAAGACTGAGTGCTCGAGCAGAGTAGAAACATGTTTAAGAAACAAACTCTCCCGGCCGATGTGCCCTGCAAAGACCATGTATCCTCACTTCCAATTGATTGCAGGTTTCTGCAGGCTTGAGCCATGCACAGGTTGAAACCAGAGTCACCCCAGCCAGCTCTGTCTGTCATGCTCTTTCATACATACCCCTTTGCCCCTGACCCCTCCCGCTTGCCTAACAACCTCGTATCAAATCTGCATGGGAAACGATTCAGAAGGCCCAACCAAAACGGTCCTGTCACTGTCACGGTTGGCCCCACCTACCGATCCTATTCCGCTCTGCTCCAATGCCGCAACCCACAACCCAAAACCCCGCCTGCATTGCTCCAGCCGTCCAGTCGGGCCGTCCAACGGTCCGGCTGTCCAGGCAAGGCACACAGCTGCGGGGACAGGACAAAGACATCCGGAAAGCCACTGACAGTGGAGAAAATTAGCTGCCGATGGTTGGTGTGAGCTAAAAAAGGGCTGGGGGAGGCCGAGAATTTGCGTCTCACATCCTCACATCGCTGATGGATTCAATCTTCAGGGGCAAAAACAGAGCCGCGCTTTTCGATCCAGGAGACTGCCGAACTGTCTTCCAGTTTCATCGAACAAATCCACCACGTCAAATGACAAGGATCCTTCAGGGACATAGATGAAGGGCTTCCAACAAAGAGGTTCAGGATGCCACACACACACACACACACACACACACGACCGTCCTTTGGTGCAAGCTGGAACCTGCTTATTAGAACCCATGTAATCAGCATTTTCTGAGGATGGACACCGACACGGAACCATCATTTTTGCCAGTCTGTGTGCGGGACTGAGAGAACCAAGAGCAGTGCAGTCACTTTCGGTCTAGCCTTTTGCTGTCACGCCGTCCTCCGGCGCTTGCTGCCGCCGTCCTGGCTTTCGGTGTGCATCCACGGAAGTTCCCCAACCGCCAACTCCTCCACAGAAAGCGTGGTTCTAAAATTTGCTCGGTGAAGATGTTTTGCAAAAACAGCCTGGGACTTGATCCTCTGAACACTTGATGCACCTCGTTAAAATGCGGAATCGTGTAAACAAAAAGAGCGGCCCAAACCTTCTCTAAGATGCACTTGAAACCTCCCCCACGTGATTGTCCACCGTCAGATGCCTCAAAAAACAAATATGCGTCCTCAGTTCTGATATCCCACTCTGCAACAAGAAAGCGTAATTCCATCCCAAATTCAATTTGTTTTATGTGAAGCGGATGGGTCACTTCCTTTTTTTCCATGACTTCCTGGTGCTGACCCTCCCGCTCCTCGCTCTCTGCCAGCGCCGGCGTCGCTAGCGCTGAGTCGCCTGAAACAACACAGCGACGGCTTTCGCAGGAAGATGTTGGCGTCTTCCAGATCAAGCGACCCTCAAATGTTCTGACATGAACCAGGGACAACGCGGCCTATTTCCCCATGGGAAGATTGGACCCGGCCTCTGGTTTCGCGGCAAATTCGGGTGGAACCTCCATGTCCTTCCCACACTGGCTATAGACTGTATATACCAGCGATTTGGCGAGCTGCACAAATAGATCGCGAGCTCTAAGCAGCGGAACCAGTCTTTACCGAAACCCTTTGGGGGCCTTGAAATGGCGCTGATTTCCTTTTGGCTAATGTTTGGGCATCCAAAAATTGGAACAAACTGGGTCATTTAAAGTGACATGCTCAGAACTATCGTAAAAACGGTGACTTCAATGAAAACACCCCCAACAAAGCAAAAATACAAAGGATGAGAACCCCTCCAACTGGCTTCCACTTTGAACACTTCAAAGAATGGCTTCCACTTTGAACACTTCAAAGAATGGCTTCCACTTTGAACACTTCAAAGAATGGCTTCCACTTTGAACACTTCAAAGAATGGCTTCCACTTTGAACACTTCAAAGAATGGCTTCCACTTGAAACACTTCAAAGAATGGCCTCCACTTTGAACACTTCAAAGAATGGCTTCCACTTTGAACACTTCAATAATGGCGTCCACTTTGAACACTTCAAAGAATGGCGTCCACTTTGAACACTTCAAAGAATGGCTTCCACTTTGAACACTTCAAAGAATCGCGTCCACTTTGAACACTTCAAGGAATGGCTTCCACTTTGAACACTTCAAAAGAATGGCTTCCACTTTGAACACTTCAAAGAATGGCTTCCACTTTGAACACTTCAAAGAATGGCTTCCACTTTGAACACTTCAAAGAATGGCTTCCACTTTGAACACTTCAAAGA